CATACCTATAGGAGAAGTTTGGTTTCAATGGTGTGTATGTTTGTTTGGTTAAAGAGAAAACTCTTCTTGTCTTTTAAAGCTTTTAAAACTTTACCTTCGACTGTCTCAAAACAGCATTTTTCGGGACAGCCCCCTTGTGCTTAAAAGCGACCAATTATAAAGGGTTCTTTTTTAGATTAAACGTCTACTATCGCAATACTGCCGTCATTTTAAAAGACTTTTTAATTCATAAATTTTCTACAGTTATAGGGGGGGGGGGTTTAGATAAAACGTCTGCAATCGCAATACTGACGTCATTTCTAAAAACGTTTTTGCACACGAATCGTCTACAATGATAAGGAGTTTTTCTTTAAGATTAAATGTTTACGATCACAACAACGCAGACATTTTAAAGACGTTTATTTACTTCATAAATCTTCTACAATTACAATTGGTTGGGGGGGGGGTTACATTGAAAGTCTACTATTACAATCCTGCGGTCATTTTTAAAACGTTTTCCCCCATAAATCTACAATTATTACTTTTTTGAAACAGATAAAATGTGTACTATTATAATACTCCGCCATTGTTGGACAAATATAATAGATCTATCTGCAGTTGTTATAACTTTACAGGGGAACCAAAAAGCTGAATGTTCTTTCCTATAGAATAATGTTCATTGCTTTAAAAATGAGAAGACAATTATTGTCAAAATCGTATATTCTTCTAAATACTTGCACAATGACATAGAGAAAATATTCACACGCAATCGTTTTAAAACTACAATATCTGCAGGTTTTTTCAGGGTTTTTTATTTCACAGGAGAGTCACAAAAAACTGAAGGGTGATACCAATAAAACACAATTTGCTTTAAAGATAATAAGGTAGTTATCATCAAAACTTGTGTTCTTACAAATATTGACTTAGAATGTTTGCAAAGAGTTTGATTTCTTGGCAACAATATTCAGATGTTTGCGCACGTGTATGTTTTCTTTAAAATGGCTCTCTTATAAAATTGTAAACGCAATAGTCGTGGAGGGTATATGATTGTAGAAAAAGTTTAACTGTAACAGTTTTAAAGTAACGAAATTGTGATACCAGTGGGAGTCTAAAGGTTATTCATAGTGCTAAACTTTCAATGCTTCGTTCATTGGAAAAAGAAAAGGCGAAAGCCAAATAAGGTGCCAAATCAGGAAAACAAACTGGATGTGACAGTGTTTTCCTTTTAAAACGAAGTGATTTTCTTCCTTGCTCTAGGTCTCTTATGCCTTGGTGAAAAAGCACCCTTTTCGTGGCCACATTAATTGGGCTGACTCGTCCAATTCTCGCTTTCAGTCGTTTCAGTGTTTCAACATAAACTTCCGAGTTGACAGAAAGTTGCTCTTCGTGGTAAAAATAAATTGTGAGAAGCATGCCATGATAGCTGTGGTTAACTTACTCTACGTCATGAGAAAGTCTTAAAAACAAGAGTGCACTTAAGACGTAAGAAACGAGTACACATGACAAATATAAAGACCAAAAAAACTATATATTTCGAAAACTCTTTGAAAAAGTTATAACATATGCTAAGAAAAAATTACGATTTCGAAATTTCAGTAAGGTCAATAGACCTCTAAAATCTGTCGGAAAACTCAGAAATAGCCGAGGACACGACGACTCTATTTTTACTGACTTGCAGAGTCACGGCCACAGGCGGTTCTGAGAGAAATTATGGACAATTTGTTTGTGTTCCTGTAGATCAAAAAGAAGTTTTGTTTGAAGCAAATTGCAGAAGACAGCTTATGATGAATATGCAAAAGCGACATTCAAATTCCTTCGGACACACAATGCGGAAAGAAGCATAGGAAAATATTGTAACACCAGGCAAGTTTGATGGAAAGAGAGACAGAGGCAGACAGAGGGAATAGATACTGGACAAGATAACAACATGGCTAGGAGCAGCAAGAACGACAGACAAAATTGCTGCAACGCAAGACAGAGTGAAGTGGAAGTCCATGATCGCCCACGCCAGTGGGCAAGGCACCGGATGATGATGATGAGATCAAAAAGAGCTCTAATAACTGCAGGAAGTCTTTTTTTTAAATGTGCACTTTCGTTCATCGTCGGTATTTCCGGGGTTCGTGTAGACCTTTCTCGGGAACTGTCCATGTTGTCCACAGTAACAGTCTGGTGGCAGAGAAAGAGCTTTGTCTGACTTCTCTTGATTAACAAGCAGGTCGCAAGCCTACCTCCTACACTGTGATCTAAACTGTGTCCGTAAGTGTGTAAAATAGCATACATAAATATTATAT